AACTGTTGCGTCTTCTAAAATCCTCTTCCACGAGTATAGGCCCATTTTTTATACTGTAGAGAAGCACGAGGTTTACTTGATGGAAGGTGAAATACCCCAGCCATCTAAATGGGATGTGCTGTCGGACTATTTTGGCTTTGGATATTTGAATATAAGAATATAAGAATTCAGATTCACCGCGATATAACTACCGCCACTAAATTTACCGCATCTGTAGTTAAATGGCAAAACGTTGCCTAGCATTGCGTTAAGCCCTAGGTTCGAATTCCGGGGACACAATAGATAGTTTCGGTCGGCATAGAAGTCTGATTAACTACGTGCTTGTAAATAAAATCGATCGGTGAAGCGGCAACAAATGTGTTCCGCCCCATGCCCCACGGAGCGAAACGAGAATTCACTTTCAATATTTTGGCTTTGGATGTTCCGCAGTCCTTAGACACCGAAACGCGATTAAACTTCATGCTTTTTTGAATATGTGTGTGGTGGTTCGTGACTCAGGCAAAATTCCAATATTTCTATTTCATTCAACATCCAGATTTCCAGATGTTTCGGAAAAGTTAGTTCATGATTTGAAACATTTGAACTTTGCTGCCGTTACACCAACGAGTTCTTCAAAACATATATAGTATGTATAATTATATATACACATATAATATTGTATATACATATATACATCAAAATTTGTTTTCGCAAAACTATAATATTTTGAACCCGTGTCGTCGCTCGCGTCCCGACGTTCTTGCAAGTTAATCTTGAAACGTAGACACATGAAAGAATTATTTTTTAATACATATTTTTTGGGTATCTTGAACCGTTTTTGAAGCGTACGCAACGGAAACCTACAAAAATGAATAATTTTCCCCTTTTCCCACATATCCCGCTATTTTATAGCCCATAAACTTCCTCGATAGATGTTCTAACACAAAGAATTTTTCAATTCGAACCAGTAGTTCCTAGGATTAGCGCGTTCAAACAAAACAACAGAGAAACTTAAATAAAACACTTTAACGGTTTATAACGCGATATATTAGTTAAACTTATTTGGAAATGATTTTTAACTTCGGCCCGACGTTTATATATCGAATATATCGCGTTTAAACCGTTAAAGTGTTTTATTTAAATGTCCTACTCGCGTAAATTATAGACAGTATTTAACAGAGAAGAGCTTTACATATTTGTATAGATAAAGGACACGTCTTGATATACATATATATACACGATCGAACCCAAGTAAACAGTACGCTTATTGTTCCGAACAGAGCAGTTAGAAGTGAAATAAAAGTTTATGTCGCTACTGTTAGTTTTAAAGCGCTTATGGACACAGATGTTGGTCCGCTTTACGTCCAGCACAAGTAATACGACACCCAACTTTTATTACATCTCATATTTATTCTCTTTTTTTCCTCGAACACGTTCAACAATAGCTACGTACACTACTAGCAGATTCGAACCCAAGAACTCCTCTGCTTAACGGGAAGAAGGCGATCATTAAGTAAAAGAGGTCCTGGGTCCTCGTGGAAAATATTAATCGTTTCCCCGAGGGAATAGTCGTATAATCAAATAGTTGCCTATATAACTTAGAATCTGTATTTAGATCTAAAATGTTTACGCGAACGGGACTTGAACCGACATCCTATACGTCATTGTCGATGTTTCGCCACATATATGTATACACTAATTGTTAGCACATAAGTTGTTTATTTTTATTGTTTATTTAATTTAAGAGTAAATTTTAAATGCATATTGTTTCCCAGAAGCGGTGGCGCCAGGGGCCACTGAAAATCAACAACAAGTGTGTTCGTAACATTGTGCTGAGTGGCTCCTGTTTTAGAAGTTGCCATAGACATTTTTTTGTGAGCAACTTTTAAATAAATGATTTTCATTATTTTATTATTACTATTACCTTAACACTTATGTTTTAAGTCCGGGTTTAGTTGTCTATAGATGAAATCAATCTATGAGACGGGCACAGAAGTGTGTTGTCCACGTGCCCCACGACGGGAACGGGATGTTCATGTTACATACTCTTCTATCGTAAGACGTTGATAAGTTACCATATTTGTAGAAACAGCTGAACTCTGAAGCAAAGGTTTGTGTAGCTATACATCTCTATACAATTTCGATTTTATTAAAATCACCTTAATTTGGATCTTCCAACAAATTATGTTTTCGAAGACTAAAAAAACTGAAAGGAATCTTAATATTTGACTTCCATTTATACACGAATCTTTTAAATTAGTCTTTTACAATTCAAAAGAAATTATTAGCGTAAAAGTTAAAGAGTAGAGAAGGTTTCAAAATTAGGTCAAGATCACTTCATTTAAGAAGCGATTAGCGATCGAAAAATCTTGAAATTGAGAACTGCCTTTAAATTTATATTAGAACCGCATAGTGATAATCAAGACGCTGCAAACTAAATAAGCCTTTATATATATACTAATATATAAAGCTGAAGAACTCGTTTGTTTGAACGCGCTAAACTCAGGAACTACCGGTTCGAATTGAAAAATTATTTTTGTGTTACTTTGAACATTTATCGAGAAAGGTGACGAAGGCTGTGACTAATAAAGCGAAGAACCATTCTTTCATACATATTTTTTGGGTATCTTGTACCGTTTTAGCAGCGTACGCAACGGTAACCCACAAGCATAAATAATCCTCCCTCCCTGTTTTTTACATTCCCCGCTATTTCTTCGCTCCTATTAGTCACAGTATAGCCTTCCTCGATAAATAATGCTCTAACTAACACAGAAAGAATTTTTCAACTAGACCTAGTAGTTCCTGAGATTAGCGCGTTCAAACAAACAAACAAACTCTTCAGCTTTATATATTAGTGTAGATTATTTAAAGAAGAATGTGCATAATTTTAGGTATTGAATATTTCCGCGGAGCACGCCTATGGTTACCCTTCAAACATGAATAATTATCCTCGTTTATTTCACATTAAAATTAGGAGATTCTCTCTTTTTGACCATGGTTTGTTCTGGTTTGACTTTAAAGATTCAAGATTCAAGCGCTTCCATGATGTCCATTCTCCGCTACACTTACGTATTTTGGATGCTTCTTTTTCATCTTTTATTCTATGTAGAATATCGACAACGTATTGTTAAATTACAGTTACTGCATATTCAATTCTGTTTATTTTCTAGAATGCGTCCATAATCATAACAAGTAGTTAGAATTTACGAACATTTGAAATTGAGGAATGCAAAAAAAAATAAATAGTTATTCTTCAAAGACTTGTATATTCTTCTTCGTCTATTATTTATTTCCTGATAATGCCTCGCCCTATATATCATTTTCATTTTCATCCATCAAATGAACAGTTTTCATGAAATAATTCGTGCTTTCCCCAACACCGCTTAACGATACTAAATTATCCTGGCCATCGGTTATCGGAAATATTATCTGATAAGCCCTTGGTGCTTATTATATCAGCTTAACTTATTAGCTACAGGTCACCGCGTTAATGGTTCGGTGATTTATTTATTTGCATCACCTTAATATTAATATGTTATGTTAACATTTTCATTAAATGTGTCCTGTAAGGCTTTCGCGGTCATCTTGCAAAGCTAAAGCTTGGTCTTTCGAGCTGTTTCGTTGCCATAAAAGACATGTAAAAACAATTTAAACAAAAAACTTTTTTATGGGTTTAAAACGCTAAATATATTAGTTAATATATGTTTAATTTCACTCTCCTCGTGCCCACGACTTAGTTAATAAATCATTTCGCGTTTTAAACCGTTAAAAGTGACGCATTTGAATGTGCATCACTCGCCTGAAGAACGGACAGAACATTTAACTATGTTTATTTTTGACTAAGCGAAGATTGACGAATCCAGGATCGTACATTTTCTCATGATGTTATGCATTCGTTACGTCGAAACTACTAGAACAAATTTCTATTGAAATAAGAACTTTGACGGATTCGTTGAACCATCGTTAGCTATATACTACTAATCAACGGGTCGTTATACATCTAATGTGCTGTCGACTTATTTTGGCTTTGATTGTTCGGAAATTCACTGAAAACGCAACGCGATTAAACTTCACGGCTTTTTCATCTCGTGTCCCGGCCTCCTAGGTCTAGATTTCCAGACGAAGTCCAACATGTGGGTTGGTGGGGATCGATGGTACGATCTGTTCATTATTAGCCATACAACCAACGAGTTCGTCAAATTGTTTGACAGAAACCAGAAACATATCTAAACGCGAGCAACATTAGCAGCAGGGGGTTGTGATTGCGACTGGGTATGTTAATGGTTGAAGGGTGCTCTGCCCTCTTCATTAGTCGAGCAAACAAGCGAGGCCGGAGGCGCTATTTTATCTCGTCACCCTCTCAGCGCCCCGCCGAGCGCTCGCGAAGATGAATATAAGGCGGCACCAAGCTGAACTTTTATTACGGTTTAATAGACAAATTGTTCTTGTTTATGAAGGTTAAATAAACCTTGCGCCATAACTTTTTTAAATTTCGTCGTGTCGTAAAAAGTATAGGGAGATATCGCGTTGGGGAGGTAGTTGTAAATTTTAAGTAGCGATATTTTTTATATTTTCCTAAATTATATAGTTATTATGGCTAAATTATATTGTTGTGTATCCTTTACAATTAATTCACTACAAATAAAGCTACTCTACTGGCTTTTCGACTTAGTTCACCATTAAAAATACTTATACCTACAGCTGATAACGGAATGTCTCCCCGTGACCACGGCTGCTGCAAAGCATCCGAAACGTCGGGCCGAAGTTAAAATCATTTTCAAATAAGTTTAACTAATATATCGCGTTTTAAACCGTTAAAGTGTTTTAGTAAAATTACTACACTTTATGTGCTTTTACTTAACATCAGGTTAGGCACAGCCAAACGTTTACTCTTAAATTAAAAAAAAATGTTCGAAAAGCTTACAATTATGGTAACAGACATAAAACACTTGTAGCTTGACTTTATTACATAACTGGGAATGACATTTCAACGATGACATAGAAAAATGTATTTGTTTCAGGTTTGCGCGATGTCTCCCCGTGATAGGGTGGCCGAGTCACTCGCCCTCTCCTACGCGGAGGCGCCTGGCCGGCCACTTCCAGACGTCATCGTGCAGCCGGGCCTCTCTTACGACGAAGTCCTGCACGATGACTTCCGATTCGATCTCAACGCGCATGACGTCATGGTCTTCTTGCACATACAGAAGACCGGCGGCACGTCTTTCGGACGCCATCTTGTGATGGATCTTGATTTGAAGGTAGGAATAAATAGTCTACTTTCACTATATTATTTGTTAAGTTAGAAATAATTATGAGGGTAGGCACTTTGACATTTATAAAACATAACGGTTTTGTGTTAACAGCTGATGCGCTGTCTGTCGACTTATTTTGGCTTTGGACATTCGGAATTCACTTCAAGGATTTTATAGCTATGGACGGTAGAAACTCAGACCCAATTTAGATCGCTTCCCCCTATTTAATGTCCAAGATGTTTTGAGAAATAAGAAAGACATTCACAAATACGGACTCGGTGGAAATCGTACCTATTTGACCAGGAAGCCCTTTAATAGTGGTTGTGAACAGTGAAAGACATTAAATAAAACACTTTTAACGATTTAAAACGCAAAATGTTTTTGTTAAATATATTTACAAATTGATGCTTTACAACAGTCAAGGTTAAAAAATAATGAAGGGTGTCCCTAATGTCAAAGTACAAACTGCTACGCTAGCGCCATCTGTTTTGTCCTAGTTCGTATTGGGCAGACGCAAGAGGAGTCAAATATAATTAATGCAATTATATTTTACTCGGCAGCTGTAACTACCATCCACCCCGCAATAATGCAATTTAGTCGACGAAAATTCATTTTGTTAACTCCAGACAGTTCAGCGTTTTTGGAATTTTGGCAACTGCACTTTTAGTTCGCGATTTGCATAGCACATTCGCTTATCTATGCAGGAACTGCTCGTCTTCAGCTGATTTGCCTGTTCTTGATGATGCTAATCTAGGAATACGGTAGTCTTTTACGATAATGCTGTCTAAACTCGAAATAGTTTGTATACTAATAACGTGCTGACGAAAACATTCCAACATTTGTGACATATTTGTATGATGTGGGTTTATACCTAAATAAAGATTATTTATTATTATTTATTAATCTATCATAGCATCATCGAAGCATCGTCTGTAGTTTACGAAAACGTAGTATTCATTTAAATAAAACATTTTAACAGTTTAAAACGACATATATGTATTTGTAGTACTTGAAGGCTTAAATAAAATATATTTAAATTTATTAAATGTTTTATTAGATTATACAAACTTAAAACGATAATATATCAGTAAATTAAATTTTAATTTATCTTAATGAAGGCTAGATATTTCGGAAGCTTTGTAGCAATCGTGATCACCGACGGACTAAAAATGTGGGTTGCCTCTAGTATGAAAGTCAAATCTTTTGCGCTACTGCCATCTGTGTCTGCTTAGTTGATATTAGAAGAAACGTGCTGACTGAAATAAGTTAATATATTTCACGTTTTAAATCGTTAACTAAACTACCGAAAAGTTTACAAAATGATTTGCAAAGCAGAGAAAATTGTAAAAATCGCTGCGATTGGAACCCATGGTCCGTTCATTAGCATTGGACGTGTTCATTAAATATAAGCATATAGAATGTCAATGTTATTCTTCAATTGTTTCGCGTGTTACCACGTGTGAGAATTGGATCGTAAATTTGATAATTCAACTTGTCATTCAAATTATGAATGACGACTGGTTCGCGTACTAACACATACATACGTGTTTGATTGGTTGGTATAATGGTAGCAATGTACGGCTAATAGTCAACAAGTCATGGGTGCGATCCCCACCGAGTCCTACGTGTTTCCAATTTTCCAATGTACAATTTTTTTTAAACATGTTGGACATCATCCGGAAATCTGGATATTAAATGGTTGGTAGGACTGTTGAAAGTCCGTCCGGGCCACGAAGCACCTTTCACAGATGATAGAGTCGTGAAGTTTAATCACGTATCGGTTTCCGTCTGTTGATTTCTGAATATCCAAAACAATAGGTCGACAAGGTTCATCTTGTTTAGTTGGTATAGTTTGCGGTATGTGGTAGATGACATATCAAGTGACTTTTCTGTCCTCTTCTATCATAAAAAAAAATACAGCCATGTGTTCGCATCGTTTCTGTCTGTAATTATATCACCTAATTACACATTAGCTCGTAAGCTGTTAGCGTGTGTTAATTACTTTGTGAAGACTAAAAGAACGCGTCGTACCGACACATCTTCATTAACTTTGAAAGCAATTCTGGCTGTCGGTTTACAGTGTCGTTACGAGATTTCAATGGAAGAACGGCTTTCTGTATGTTTCTGTACACTTTTAGCCTAATAAATTCGCTAACGAGATCGCTCTTAATTTGATATAGTAGCGATATGACGCTTCCCGAACCCCTATCAGGTAGGATAAAGAATGTCAATAGCTGAAATTTACCCTGTCATATTTAACGAGAAAATCTTGACTAAAAATGTGAAAAACGTGCCCGCGTGCGTACCTTGAACTCGAGGTGCTAAAAGTTGATGACATTTTTTGTTACTTTTTTTATTTTAATACGACAGTTTATACTAATATTATAAAGCTGTAGATGTTGTTTGTTTGTTTGAACGCGCTAAACTCATGAGCTACTGGTTCGAATCTAAAAAATATTTTTTTTGTGTCGGTTTGAGCATTTATCGACTTGAAACAGGGGGAAATGTGGATCAAACAGGGAAAATTATTCATCTTTGACAGTTGCCGTTGCGCGCGTTGCGAAGACGGTTCAAGATACCCAAAAATTATGTATCAAACAATGATTCCTCTTTAAATGATTTAAAAAATATTGACGACAGTATATGTCTATCTTCTAAGATAAATTTTCAAGAACGTTGGTACTGAACCAAAACTTTTCTACGCGAACGAAGTCGCTGACGCCGCGAGTAATTATATGCTTATATATCTACCGTCAATGAAGTTGCTATGATATTGTCGATGAAGGTTTTTTGGTGGCATGGAGTGAAGAACGAGAGTTCGTGAGTTCGAATCACGTGGAAATAAATTTTGTTATGGATGAGCATGGCATGAAAATGTGGGGCACAGGGCGAACACATTTTTGTGTCCGTTTCACTGATCCGTTCTTCAACAGGCAAGTAGTTGATCAGACTTCTGTGCCCTTGGATTTGAACCCAGGACCCCTCGCGCTTAACGCAATGCTAGGCAATACGTTTAACCATTTTACTACAGAGGCGGCTGTATATACGTGGTATACAATATATAATATTATGTACGATAAAGTACTATAGTATAGTAGTGCTTTGGGCTGGCTTTTGTTACAGGCCGTGCGTGCAATGACACTGCTAAAACGAAAATGGCTTCATTCTTCTTAGAAAATGTAACGTCACGCGATTTAGAGCCAACCTCGGTGATTGTACACTTTGAAAAATTTCATAGGAAAGGCTAAAAGTAGCGTAATCGTAGCGTTTCTATTATTGGACACGGTCTTTATTTTTTTTACTATGGAGAAGACCAGACATGGCCATGGTTTAATTAATTTTTTTTTTCAAATTCAGTCGTATTCAGACAAATAGGAAAATAGGGAAAAATCGGGGAAAATTCTTCATCTTTGTTGTCACGGCGCGTTACATGCCCTGCGAAGATTATTCCTAAACATCCGTGATTATGAATGTGTGATTTATGATAATGAAATAAGGTCAAAATTAATGCGTTGTTACCAATTATTTGTTAGAGTTGTATCAACGTAATTATTTATACCTTGCAAAACAACAAAACAACGTTTAAATAAAACACTTTAATGGTTTAAAACGCGATCCATTAGCTAATATATCGCGTTTTAAACCGTTGTGTACTACTCGCGTAAACTATAGAGATAGACAGTATTATAAACAACGTTTGCAGGACCAGCTAAGATATGTATTATAAAAATATTTAATACGACTTATATATCGCTGCATGGAAGGTATACTTATCTTAATTACATTATGTTTGGGTAATAGTATGATAACACACTCACGGTCTAGAATAAACAAGTGTTAATTGAATTATTAATAAGTTCTATATAACATATTTACACTATTATTTCAATTACTGAGAAATGCGAGCCGCCCAGCTTTGGGCCACGGGTTAAGACAATATGGGAATTCTTGTGCGGATGAACCTAGAATATTAATTATAACTATTGAAATAAAACACTTTAACGGTGTAAAACGCGATATATTTAAGTTAAACTTGCTTGAAAATTATTTTTACATACGTCGGGTCGTAGTTAAAAATAATTTAAATTATTTTTATTTTATTTTGTTTTATTTCAATGTGTACTACTTGGCATGGAGCAGAGCCGATCAGTGAAATAAGTTCGTCCCATGCCCCACGGGATTTCACGTTTAGAGAATCAATAATATAATTTTCAAATGCTACAATTGGAAATGAGCCTACATCTCGTTGGTTGTTGGCCATACACACCACTGAACCAACGAGCGACAAATATCACAATATCATACAAATATATACGTGGTATGTGTATGTAATATTACATATATCTACAAAAATTTAATTTTATTAATAACTGGCTGTGTCAGAGACTACGTCCGCGTGAACGTTGGGCATCCAAATTCGTTTTTGCAAACCCGAATAAACTTAAGCGATGTATAACAGGGCGATGTTTTATAGCCTATTATAGACGTCCTCGATAAATTCTCTAACCAACACAAAAATATTTTTTCAATTCGAACCCGTATTTCCTGAGGTTAGCGTGTTCAAACAAACAAACTCCTCGGCTTTATATATTAGTATAGACGCGCCACCAAATGCCCTTTGCATTTGTTTAAATGTAACACAAATAAACTTAAAGGATTAAAACATTTGAACATTCGAAGGATTATATTTTCTTAATAAAGAAGGTAGAACGTGTTCATACTTCGCTTATTTAATACCGTAGGTTGAAGTTATTCGGGACAACGGCTCATGTTTTCAACCGCAGAGTGAATATTTTAACGTTCGCCAGTTTCGACAGCCGAGCAATATGGGTCGCCGTTTCCAAGTTGAGTGCGGACCACGAAGAAAATTGCACAATACTTCCACGAGAAACTTATTTAGCTTAGCATTCTCACATATATTATATACATCAATACAGCATTCTTTCCCCCAGACAAACATGCTCATAATCGAAGCTTAAATACCTCGTACCATAGTGAATAAGATG